TAGTTAATCATTGGAATTAGTTAAAGATCATATATTATTCTCTACCCAAATAATTGGTAAAGGTTTTACAATTTGTTTAAAGTATTTTACATCATATTCTAGCAATACAAAAGGTTCATTTGTTATAAAACTACAATTTTTACAATACCTTATCAAAGGAATCGTATCATAGCCCATTCTCAAAGGCTAAACTTTATAAGTCTTAAATTCATACTAGCATCTTTAGTTATTGATGAATTTCATAAATATAAGCTACAGGGTGGTTATTACTCACTAATATTTTCCTATAATTAACATCTAACATAAACTGGAAATGTATAAGGTGTAGTTGTTATTATCTAACACACCATTCAATTAGGCAATTCATATTATTTAGAATGAAACTTTTAGCAGTCAATTGTAATTATGAATCCAAAGGTCTTATAGTACACCATGTAATGTATATAGAATTGAGATATTCCTCTTCTTCAATTTCATTTGGGACATCAATCCTCAAAGGATACACCTTGGGAAATTAAGATGAAATTTGATATTAGGAAGAATCTTGATAGAGAGCATTTTCTAATTTAGAAAGAATATCTTTATAATAATATTCAAGACTATTTAATTTTTCTTATATTGCAGATAAATTCATTTTTTCTTTTTTTTCTTAATCATGGTTCTCCTGATTATAGACTATTTGGTTGATTAAATCAACCATTGGTTTGACTTGAATATTTTAACATTCCCCATATACCTCTTTCCATATTTATTTACTATGGTTTTAAATAATCTTAATGAGTCAGGAAGTCTTAAACTAGTTATAATCATAGTTATAGAAGATATTTATATACTACTATTTATTTAATTAAGTAGTAGCTAGTTTTTCTTACAACAAGGATTATTATTCTTAAGCCATTTCATCTTATAATACTCCCATTACCTAAGGGTGTAAACTTTATATGATTTTTAATGAAGGATGATTCATTTTCAGAATTTCCCTTTAAGGCTCCACCTATATGATTTAACGTTGTAATTAGAGCAACTGTTTTTGTAATTATTATTCTTTCTATCATAAGTGTTTAATTTCTTTGGTTATTCATATTTCTTAGTATTATTTTTAATACCTATTACTGCTTCTTCCCAGCTGATAGGTTGCTATTTGTACCATTGTTTCTCATCCTAGCAAAATTACATTATTAATTTATTTCTACATATAAATATTAAAGGATTACAAAAAAAAGATTAAATAATAATCAAATCAAAAATTTATAAATTTTATTATTAAAAGGATTAATTTTTTATATCTTGAGATAAAAATATTTGAAATCATGTTACATTAACAATATGTATATATTGTATAATTATTACAAATCTAATCTCTTACAATGAGAAATAGATCAATTATCTATTTGATTTATTATATTTAATGATTTCTTGAGTTTTGAGATATTGAAAGCTAGCTATCTATATATTTAATTAAATAAATTTTAAATAACTAAAAATTAAAAGGGGAAATATAAATTCATTTTAGAGAACTGAATATTTATTTTCTAGGAATTCCATATTGATTAAAGAAAAGCAGAGCCTAAAATTTTCTTCAAAAAAATTCTTGAAGTATACTTAAAGTAAATATTCAAAGTAAAAATCGATTCTTTGATCTTTAGGAATTTCCTATTTGTTAGATTCCTGAAAATCAATACTATAAAAAAAAATAATATATCTAAGATGATTACTTTTGGACAAGTTCTATACTTTAGAACATTAAATTACAATTTCAACTGAATAGTATTATTTTCTATTTATGTATCTTTTTTTTCAAATATAAGTTAGATTGTGAATACTTTTGAAGGAAAAAGATTATGATTTATGACATTACAATTTATAATGAAAATTTTAATGAGGATTCAGATTATATACTATTATTTTAATCAATTTTCAATCAATTGAATTATGATCAACCTAACGATTTATTATCCTGATTGATTTCTCAGTTTAATTAAAATTCAATACATAAATTTTACTACCAATATGGCCTAATTCAAATCAAAGCTTCAAAAGAGATGGCTGATTAAATAGGTCTACATTCTAATAGGGTTAAATTGGTTTAAGGGAAAACTTATTTTGAATTTTCTACATAAAATGTTAAATACTTATTTATATATCAAAATTATAAATTTAGCTAGAACTCATTTTGTATTTGTCATATAATGATGCAAAAACATTAAAGTTTCAATCTTTCACTGTTTTTTGGCTCTAAAGATTATCTTTAAGTTTAGATAAATTGTATTAGAGATATTTGTCAGATTAAGGTTCAAAAAAATTATGAGGAAAATGTAAGATATGATAAACGATAGGAAATTGTAATTAAATAAAAATCTATTGTATTATTTCTTTGAGTTTAATAATCAACTCAAAATTCAATCTAATTTTAATCGTTAAAAAAATAATATAATTATTTATTTTGAATATAAAATTAGATTTTAAAAGTATTGTAATATAAAAAGTATTTTAATAGAAATAGAGAAAGATTTAATAATATATTTATAATGAATTAAAATGATGATATAAGTATCAAATGCCCAAATTTAGAGCATACTAACAATGTTAAATTAGTATGCTTTGATGAATCTTGTAAATAAGATAGATTATATTGCATATAATGTATAAAA